GGAATTCTGGGAGTTGAAGTCCACTCATCTTAAAGTGGCCAAGTTTGGACAACACTGGACTAAAAGGAAAGGAAAAACCAGGGCCTGAAAAGTTTAACACTGCCCCTCTGATGATATCATCACATCTCCGAGCCTTTGAACCTTGGCTGCTGAAAAAATGCAAAAAAGGAAGAGAAAGAGAAGCAGAATGGGAGGGGAAGTGCAACCTTCCCCTACAAAAAGATTTCTCTTCTCTGCTGTCCTGAAGATATAAGGGTATTTTGTCTTCATTCAGGGATAATTGCCATAGCAGTGACGGAGCGACTCACTTACGAGGAACGAGTGGCACAGTCTGGGAAACTGCTCCTGTGGAAAGCACCAGTTCTGTTCTGGAGTTTTGCTGACCCAATTCATCCTCAGGTATTCTCTTGGTTTGACAACTTGAATATCCCTGAACACTGTTTAACCAACAAAGAAACAATCACTTCAGTTTGCGATGGCGTTAAAAATTGATGGATTTCTCCCTCCTTCCCTTGGCCAATGTTCTTTCTAGCTAATGCTGGAGTGCCCTGAAGATATTTATTGCTTTGAGTTTTCTCCAAGTAATCCCAACATCATTGCTGGAGGCTGTCTGAACGGACAGGTTAGGTATTGGATCTACATTTCATTTCTCTCTCTCTCAATGCCTTCTTTAAATTAACACTGAGCTATATGTTTGCATGTACTGTGTATCTTTTGTGCATTGTGTAAAAAGTTGTTTTCTGCAAATCTGTAGAAGTTCAGGAGATCAACATGGAATAAGACTAAGGAGCCTATTAACTTGCAGACTCTGGCTTTTCTGTAGATAAAAGTCATGCTAGGGTGGCCCATGTGTGGATATACACACATCTATATATATCCATCATGCTATTCCTTTTTGGGGTAAGCAGTATAAGCAGAACAGTGATTTTTAGCTGTGCTAAACTGAAGAATGAGTTGTATGATCCAACTGCATCACAACAAGGACCTTAGTGATGTGAATCTCTAAAACGTAAAGCTTCTCCTCTCACTCGGATCCTTGTGTTGATCCAGTGCACTCATCCAGTTCATTTCTAAATGAAACTAAAAAGCGCCTGTAGCACAGCAGAAATGCCCATTACAACTTCTTAGGAGATGGATGTAATTGGAATTATGCCTAATGCCAGGTTCCTTTGTGGGAGTTGGCTGGCAATAATGCGCCTAGTCTCATGTCTCCCAGGCTCTTAAATGAGTCCAGAAAATTATTGCTTCGCATCCACCATGATGAAGGTGGACCCCATAGAGGTTCTCTTCCTCCCACTTTTTTTTGTAAGAGCTCAAGGCTAATGACATGGGGATCTCCTTTCATTCTTCATTTTACCCCAGTAACAGCAGTGAGGGAAGTTGGCTAGGCTGAGACAGAGTGATTAGCCCAAAGTCCCTCAGTGAATTGCCATGGCTGAGGGTAGATTTGACCTGGGTCTCTCCCATCCTAATCTAATACCTTCACCAACTATACACCACATTTTCTTGCTCCTTCATGTTCTTCTACAAGGTCAGTTTAGAGCCAAAACACATGGGACATCACTGTATTTACATAGTTGAATACATTTCACAAGCAGTGACTTTTCTGGGTACTAAGGCCTTTGCCAACCACAGACTGGCCTTACCGTGATTTTGTCATGGTTGCACAGGGTCTAGTCTTAGCCATAGACTTAGCCATAGTCTGATTCTTGTATTTGCCCCATCTTTCTTCCCTTTCATATGAGAACAAATGCTTGGATTCAGGGGATCTGCAGGGAAGGTGGTCTAAAAAGTCAAGATGGGGGCCACAACCATGTGATGAAAGCCCCACCCCTTTTTATGCATGTTGTGAATTTGTGCAACCCCCTAATACAGTGTGATGCACATTGAAAGGGGCAGGGCTTTGATCACATGGTTGTGGCTGTCATTTTTACTTTTTTGACCCCCGCTTGGATTGATGAAAACAGAAGTGGAAAGATTTCTGGCTAGAATTTGCCCTCAAACATTCTTAGATATTATGCTTTGTACAGTTTAATAAGCAAAAGAAAAAGGAAATCCAGAGAGATAGCAATATATTGATAAATTGAGATCCATTTTCTGCAACATACCATTTTGACAATGGGGAAGAAATCAAATATGAAGGGAAAATTCCTTGCTATCTTGGGAATACTTTGAACAAGAGGGTTGAGCAACCTCGTGGGACTGAGAAACCTTTAATAATTTGGTCAGAGAGCAGTTTCCAAGGGCAGAGACAAGAGGTGTTTTTCTCCTGGGATTTTGAGAGAAGGATTCTTTGTTTTTTAAACTACAGGAAACTCCTTTTAGAATGTATATCACACTTTTCATGTTCTTTCTGCCAGATATAATTCTTGCCTAAACGTGTTGAAAAACACCCCCCCCCAATCTTTCCTAATAATGTTTAAAGGGACTCCCAAAAAAAGAGGGGTTGAGAGAATCTGGGGCTGCAGATGACCGATCTTGCTCTCAAACTTCCAAAACTTTTGGTCCACAGAATAAAAAATGTGAATGTCACTACCACATTTCCACATCAGAAGTTCAGTCTACTGTGAGGAACTCTTCAGTATTTGCTACTTTTCACCTTTTAAAACTTCTACCTTCCCATTATTTAAACAAAAAGTCCTTCCTTTCAGTATCCACATATATAATCCCAGCATTGTAGTTTCCCATCTTTGCTAATCTGGTGTTCCACAGGGACAGGAAAGGCTCTTTCTTATTCTCACTAGAATTTGGGAGATTTAGTAGTCCCAACACAATTGGAGGGGGCAATTTGTCATGGGAGGAACATTGTGTAGAAGAGACATGTTTGGAACACCTCTCCTGCACTAGATTTGTTAAATCTGTTGTTCTGCTCCAATGCCAGGTTGTGTTGTGGGACATTTCAGAATATGAGGAAAGTTTAAAAACCGCAAAGTCAGGTAGCACTGTGGGCAAGGGCACGTCAGTTAATATGGTGAGTATTCTGTATTTATTCTTCTTCCATGCTGTCAACTGCCTAACGATATTTTGCTGATTTAAGACTGATGGACCTGGAATCTGGTCCTTCTGCACATGAATATTATGAGTCCTATAACACACTTATTTGAAAGGACCTACATATAAAGTTGGAATAAGTCAACCAGTATAACCGTTAGAATCCCTGCTCTTAAGATAGCTGGGGGGGAAAGTGTTTACTCTGTTTACACATTAACAATGCAATCCTATACTTGCCTGGTCTCATTTAAACCCTGTTGAGTTAGATGGAGTTGTATCATTTGAGTAGTATAGAAATGAAGTGAATGGCACTCACTCCTAGATAACTGAATACTGCTGTATAAATAAGCTTGTAAGTGCTTGGGCTTGTGGGCTTCCCACTCCTCCTCCAGTAGGGCTAAGAGGAGATCAGACATTTTCACTTGCACTTTTAAACAAACATAAGTTCCATGTTAGGTCCAAAATTGGTGGAAAGCCATTTTATTTTGACTATGGTTTCAAACCAAGGGTTGGTTCTAATGTACCACGGTTTAAACAAATCTCAGTTTGACACAACAGAGGACTGTGGTTTATTTAAAATTGAATGTTTCAAATCTTATGGCTCTTTGGCAGGAGAGGAAAGAGAGGAGGAGAATCTGAGGCTTATACAGATGTGCCCACGTAATAAGAGATCATGGCTTTTTTTATGTTTGAGTGGCTCATAGGCTCCCTGAAAGCAGTATATTTTCCGTATTTCCCCTCTTTTTATGGTCTATACATCATCAATCTCTGTGAATTTTAGAGGATCCTTATACCTTAAAGAAAGAAATTATATAATCTTGGTTTAGGTTTTTAAAAGCTCGATAGCTTCCTTCTTCCTAAGTGTTAATGGGTCATGTTCAATTTTAGCCCAGTTTCATGCTGGAACAACAAACTGGGAAGGAGCCACACTTAGTGAGGTACTGCGCAGTCTCATCTATAGAATACGGCCATAAATCTGTAATAACCGATATACACTGGCTGCCAAGTTTTTTTGAGGTAAGATTCAAATATTATTCTTTCCTGCTTGGGCCACTAATGGGAAAATATCCAAATAACGCCTGACTTGTTAGCTCATCTTACTTCAAGTGGTGGTTGTTGAGAAGGCAAAATGAGAGAAGAACACCCACGTGTTGCCTTGAGGAAAAATTGGGTATACATGTAATTCATATGCATATTTTTCATGGAATATCTAGTAGGGTTTGCAAATCATGGGTTGTGACCCCCTCTGGGGAATTATGAGCAACTTGGAGGGAGTCGCAAAAATTTTTTTTAAACCTGATTGGGCTTGTGAGGAAAAGGACTGTCAAAACTTGGTCCTGATTTTGTTTGGACAAGCCTACAGCAGGCAGGGAGCATCCCTAAACTAATTCTGAGAGAAGCCTAAAGCAATGGTACATTCACAAATCAGAGCAGTGTTTATTTATTTATTTACTCATTCATTCATTCATTCTTTATTCTTTATAATTTGGGGGGACATTTGCACAGATTCATTTATCACTATGGGGGTCCCAGAGGATTTCTAGATTACAGTACTAGAAGAGGTCAGATCCAGCATCAGTTCCACAATCTGTCATGGAAGCTCACTTGGTATCTTCAAAGTCGTCACTATCTCACCCCCCCCAAATGGATTCAGTGGGTTGTGGGGGTATCTTTAGAGGACAAAGCATTCTCTCTGCCACTTCAAGCTCTTGAAAGAAAGGTGGGATATAAATCTAACAAATAAATAACTAAAATACAGTCCCTGTGTCTCAGTAAGCAATAAATAACAATCCCAGAATTATTTATTCCTGGGGAACCTAAGGGCTGATTCACAAGAGCATTTCTCGCACATGTTCATAAATTTGTGGGAGAAAAATCACATACGCATAATGTCAGAAAAATACTGTAAGCATTCAAATAATTTTCACTTGTGCCAAGCTACATTGAGGCATATATGCTGCATTTTTTCTTCTGAGTGCTCACTAAGTAATATGCGGTCTGTTCATTTTTTATTTTCTTAACTGGGAATTGATGTTACTTTCATTGTACTCTTTACTAAGATAAGAATCCAGCGCAGGGTATTAGTGAACCAAAAACAACGGCTATTTAGCAAGCCTCTTAAAAAACTGGTGTTACTAAATGTGGTCAATGAACATGAATGTTTCTAGAATATCTGTGTAAGGATTTCTGCTTTCTTTTCATTGGGAGTATCATGCAACCTTGAATAAACCTGAAATAATGTGATACTTGGCCAAAACAAACAAACAAACAAATCTCCACACTTAGCCCCTGCTTCCTTCAACTTCTGAGTTTGCCCATCCTGGAACATTCCTCTATTTGTAGTGTTTTTTAATATTCCTGTTCTTAATGTGAGATGGTATTTTGCTTGGTCTTTCTTAGATCAACAGAATGGGTACTGTTTTTGAAAACAGAGCTGGAGTTTGTGTGCAGCTTATGACCTGTTCACCAGACTGGTAGTATTTTATTCAAAAATTCATTCTATCAAGATGCAGTTGTGATATATGTCCATGTGCTCCCTCCTCCTGTTAATTCTTCTTATTATGTGCCCAAATTAGCAAAAATATTCTAGATACTTATGTGACAGTTTCCAGTGATTCAAGCAGGAAACTATGATTTAAATATACTTCCAAACCAGGATTGTAATTTATTGAATCATGATGTCTAAATTGAGACATGGGATATAAATAATCTTCATTATTTCTTTGATTTCACATCCCTTTCCTTGTTCCTTTTCATATTTTCCTCACCCCATTACTATTCTTTTGTTTAGCAGATACTAATTCCAATTCAAATACAAATAGAACAAGTGACTATCTTAATGTTCTAAATTACCAGCTGAACAAGTCAAAAAATGTTACTTGCAAAATTCAGCTGTACAGAAAAAGAACTTCAGTCTGGGTAGGATGGTTTAAAAAGTCAGGATAGTGACTGAGCAAATGTGATTGAAGCCCTACTCCTTTTTTACAGAGATTCTGTCACCTGGTTATGGTGACCATCTTGACTTTTTTTGATCCTTCCCTGAAGACACGTTAGTTATGGAACCTTGTATCTTTCTTTAGAGAACAACTGTTGGTTTATTTGGGCAGGAACATTTGTACTCAAGAGCCTCCTTGCAGCTGAGTTCAGAGTCTTTCTTAACTTTCAGTCTTATAGAATCAAAGGGTTGTTTAAACCATTGAGTCCAACCCGTATTCTGGGTAACTGAAGCACTCATGACAAATGGCTATTTAGGCTCTACTCAAACATAGTCAATGGACAGGAGTTCCCCACTGCTGGGATCCACTTTTCAACTTCTCTTACCGCTTGGAAGTTTTTTGTTTTCTAAACATTTGAGCAAAATTTTTTTTTTTTTAAGATCCTAACAAAGGGTGATCTAGTGATGGTAGGTGTTTCACCCTTCCACTGGTATTCAAAATAGCTGCCTAAGTGGAGAAACTTTCAAGACTGGTTTACTCTCACTTTGCTCCACTTTCCCATTAAAATTACATCTGCTCCCAGTTGACTGCAGTTCACATGAAACAGATGGCAAATCACCAGGGACTTGGTAGCCTTTTGGGTTTTACGTCCTGCCCAGAACCACAGAAACAGCAGCCCCAGTGTCAGAGGTCAGCATGAGCATGTAGCTGCTGAAGACAAGGACCTCAGAAGGACCCATCCCTAGTTCTGTGGCTCTGCTGCCATTGAGCCTGTCACAGCCACTGTCATCATGGTTGTCGCTTGCTGCTGCTGACATCTCCTGCCACAGTAGCTGCTCACTTCACTCACCCTTTCTGACAAATGTCCCTGGAAGCAGTCAAGGCACTCCTGAAAGCACCCAAACCAGTGCTCAGCCCACCTGCCCCATTCATGTGCTGGCCATCTGATCCCAATGTCATGTTAAGCATTAAATGTTGAAGGAACTATCAAGATGGCTACCTGGCACATGAAGTGGCCGAGCATTAGCTCAGCTTCCCTTCAAAAGTACGACTACTCCCCTCTTAAATAGTGACCTGTAAAAGTCTGGATGACCCTACATGGAAGAAAGAGATACAAAAAACTAACTATCTGCTGTCATCTCGTGGTCATCTGAAATTTTGCAGTTCAGATTTGGTAGCCCTGCTCTTATAACATGTGATAGATTGAGGAGGAGATGAATTACTGGTGGTTCCAGAGCCTTGTGTCAACAGCCTAAGGTGCATTAAAGACTGATTGGCAGGCCATAATGAGGGCTACTGAAGACCTTCCTGACAGCTTTTACTTCCAGACAACCACAACACAGAATATTTTTCCCTCGTGTATCTACTTAGTTTGGATACTGACTAGATACAACAGAAACTGCTCAAATATTCAGAATGAGTTTAAATACAGAAGCTAACCCTGCAGTCTTCCAATTCTATTATTATCCCCATCTGTCCAGCACAATATATGTTTGGGATCTCCGAGCTTATAGGCCTGCTTTACAAACTTCAACGGAAAAGAAAAAGGAAGATAGCATCATTAAGGTTCCACCTGATGTGCCTACCACCTTCAAACACCTAGACCTTGTCTGGAGGCCTCACATTAAGGTACAGCCCTGCAGAGAATTTTAAAGAATGTTAAGTTGGAGGGAAGATACACAATTTTCAACTTAATTTTTAGTCTCCCTCCACTGTCTCCTCTCCTCTCCTCTCCTCTCCTCTCCTCTCCTCTCCTCTCCTCTCCTCTCTTCTCTT